GTAATATTTTAGAAATATATTGTGTGATGAATGGATACGAAATTTAAATTTGACTGTTATATAATTACGATTCAAATACTGTATGAATATAACAACTTCACAAATATCTCTATCTTCAATAATATTCTGAATCTTCAACCGAACGTTTCATGTGAAATCACCTATGCGTATTCAATTACAAGATAATATTTTCAATTACAGCACAATAGCGTTTCAATTTTATATTGCTAACTTTTTCGCAGACCGGAATATTATTTATTATTTTCAAAGAATAACTATGTAAGCGAATGATGCATGTTTGTATGCATCTGACAATAGCGCCGGAAGTATTATACATGGGATAAGTGGATTGTTAATTTTAGAATCGCATATAATTATACGGTAATGGCTAATGGCACATCCGTGAGAGCAGAAAAACAGATTCATGCCACAGATTTTATTCATCTTCAATACAAATATCATAGAGCTTGTTTTTGTAATCAAAACAATTTCAATTTTATTACTGTAATTCTATAATGTATTAAATTAAGATAACCTAAAATATATATTGTCAAGTTAAAGACCTACTAAAATTAAATTTTTTTAAATATGCAAGTTGAAAAAGAAGCGATAAACTAATTTTTATAAAAAGTTGTACTTGGTACTTTCGTGAAATATTTTTCCACGCTTTCGACAATGCTTCGTCATACTTTTCGTTATGACAATAAATGCGAGTCTCTCCGAGGAAAATGCTACGCTTGGTTACTTGGCTGTATCTGTTTAACGAGGAATAATGTAAGGAGTGTCTGGTTTGACGTTAGTTGCGGCATTGAGAAATATCGCGTGTAGCGAAACGAATGTGAAACTTGAAAGCACATGATTTAAACCATGTGTTTTAAATGTTGTGCACTTTTTTCTAAACTTTTTTCTACTGTAAATGTAAAAATTGAATTAATTCTCAAGCGCTACACTACGAGAACAACTTAAATATAGATCCTCAACCTAATTTGATTGCTTATAACTTTCATATTGCAAACAATTTTTTTTTCAATCGAAAAACAATACCAAGCAATTGTGGAAAAAGCATTTATTACTGTATTATGGTTTATTTTTAACATAATTAGTCGTATATGTTTCTAATAATACATATTATATTTCAATTTTTCTCGTTCTCTTTAATGACTTACAATTAAATAAAAATGAATAATATTCCATCCTTTAAATGCAAAAAATTTTTAATTGTGAAATAATTTGCACTAAATATGTATATAAATAGCATTTATATCTATATTTAACGAATTTATAAAGTCACGAATTTATAACACCCCGCGTGAATAATAAAGAATTAAGGATAAATATGCGTAACACGGCTCGTTCTTCTTTTATTTAATTATTCATTAGGAATATTTTATTGAGATGCATTGTAATTATTCTTTATGATTTATAATTATGCTTATATTTCGTCCTTATTCAAAAAGATTTCATCAGAACATTGTCTTTAAAGCACACATCTTAACGTTAAGACATCATTTGCAGGCACATCGAGCGTTTAAGAAAATGCCAATCCTGTCCCAACTGTCGCGCCGATTTCACGATATGTTGACGACAGACGCGAAACCGGATCCGCCGCGGACCGGAAGCTACATTCACAATCTTTCGCCGACTTTGGACGAGCAATTGACGAAAATGCAATCGAAGTCGATGCCTGCCACGCCGGAAAAGGAGCAGGAGGACGTGATGTCAATGCAAGAGCAAAAATCGATGCCGAACGGCGCAAGGCCGACTACACCCACCGATTTTTGTACAAAGCCGGAAGACTTCGGCGACTCGAGGTCGACGAGCGAATCAAAGAAGTATAAACGACCAAGGACGAAGACGAAACCAAAATACAAATATTGTAAGTTGTAGTAAAAACGTTATCGAGCTGTTACCAAACCTTCACATAATTTTAAATACGAAGCAATTCTAGAATTTTATTTTGTATTCAAGTATTTTTTATTACGTTCATAACTTTTATCTAAAACATTTTTCCTTATTGCGAGTTATTTCGGAGTTTTTTTTTACAGTGGAGAAGACGAATATTTTCGCGAAATGTTTTTTTTTCATAGAAATAGACAGGATGGATGTAATAATTTAATAAAAGATATCTTTGTGCGTAGAAACTTTTCGAAAATTTGTCAGTGTGATTCTATAATTATGTAACTAGACTTGATTCTGTAAATGGAAATAAATCTCATTAAATAAATAAAAAGGCAAGGTGCGATTAGAGATTACACAATGCTAAGTAGACATTTCGACAAGTTGACGTATGACATTTGCATTATTTATAATTTACTTAATGGTGATTCGGGAGAATTATTAAGAAACGAATGCCGTATAGACGTCGTGATTTTATCAAAAGGTAATCAAAACGAAAATACGTCGCTCCATATATTCCTCTTATAAATATTTGTATGATTGACAATGAGATGTCTTATCACGATTAAAAGCGTAAACTCGGGGAATACCAAATTGCCGATTTCTATTTGTAGAAGTATTAAAGAAATAATATAAGATAGCATTTTTTGGCTGTTATATATTTTTATGATATTCGATTCTTTAAAAAACTGCAGTATAAATTATTTCGTAAACCAACATTTTTTTAAATATGCAATTTCACGCGCAACAACGTATTCATATCGTAAAATATTTTACGAGACTTTATCGTTTCAGCGGAATCGTAATAGCCGCCGAAATTTTATGTCATACAAATCTTCCACTGCTTCAAATCTCGGGATTATTCGTCGTGATAAAATAACTAATATAACGCGTACGATAGTTGCAATATTGAAACAGATTGAGTGATGATGATATCAAGGAGTTAAAGCTCGTTATCTAAGCGCCCTAGTTATGCGATATCAACAGAGAATTTTTATAATCATGTAACGATTAATTAAAATATTGTATTAAAGATTGAATATTTCACGGAAATATTTAACGAATGCAACAGATTTCGCAAGAAAATTTATGGCATCTCACTTTTTAAATAATTAAACATAATTATAAATTTGCGATGTTATCGATATTTCTTTAATAATTTTTTGAAATTAATTTCCAGCACAAGGTACGAATGTGGTAAATTACAACATAGTCAATTCCAGTGGAGTGAAGATCGGCTCGCGCACGAGTTACATATGCAATGTGAATCAGTACCCGGCGAACAATAACGCGACGCAGTCAGAGACGGCTTCGAAACCGAAGCATCGGCCGATGCCCGAGAAAGTGGAAAAATTAAGCACATGCGAAGAGGAGCTCGGGTTCGACGACATGTTCATTCTTAAGACACACGTTGGACACGGATGGCGGGACGTCGCGAGAAGACTCTCGTATTCGGATGGACAGATCGATCAATTCGAGGAGAATTATAGACACAAGGGTATCGACGAGGTGAATATCGAACTCTAAGAATCAGATATTCTATCGCGAATGATTCATCAATCTTGGTAATTTTTGTTATCAGACTAATCTTGTTTGAACAAGATTTTAAAATTCATTCGTTTACGACCGATTACTATTATAAAACATTAAGTTTTATTCATGTAATTAAACGTTTCATGTGAAATTCACAAATTTCTTGTAAATGTATACTAATAGCGAATTTTAATTTAATTTTAATCCATGTGTGATTTCAGGTAATCTATCAGTTACTGCTTGATTGGAAGCAAGCCAACACACGGGATGCTCAACTCGGCACATTAGTTAGTATACTGTGGTCTTGCCAGGAGTACGACTGCGTCGAGCGATTAGTTGCAGCTCGTAAGAATCCATCTTAGTTGGGCGCGATAAATAAAAATCTCTACCTAACGCTTGTACATACGCTTACGTAAACGATTGTGATTATTTTTTTTACTCGAAATACCATTTCATTATTTTTATACATATTTTAGCGCATAGCATTTATAGACGCACCATTCCGATTGCAAAGATCGTTTACATTCGTCTAAATGTCAGATAGGCTGACAGAATATTGTTCTAGACTAATTCGTATTCAGTCTTCGATGACATTGTATGAAATCACATGCGTTTTAAGTAGGAACATGATCTGGTTAATAATACATCACGGACGAACTTGTAACGTCGCTTTGCGCAATATACATGTGTAATATTCCAATGTGTATGTGTGTATATTATACATACATACATTTTTTTATACTTATCCCAAATTTTATAAAATCTAATAGAAATAAACATACAATTCTCCAAACAATATGTACTTCTTTTAGTCATTGTACAAAGTCATGTACATACCTTTGGTGTTACAATAAAATCAGGCATTAATACATGCATACATAAATTGAAATGTATGCATGTAGATACAACGTCCTATAATAACTTTCTTTTTTTTATTATTCTTATATTTTTCTTAGATTTTATTAGATAAATTAATATACACATTTCTATACATTTTTGTAATTCTTTCCTTTCAAACGTCTTATAAAAGTTTTATAAAAAAAAGAATAAAAAATTTTTGAATATATTAAATATTCTAATTACGCTCGTCGTTTTTTGTAAGTACAACTTTTTGTAAATAGTTTATCATTTATCACGCAATATCTCCACAAATATTTTGTTTTCTAATTCTTTGATACTAAAATTATTTTGTACTCAATGATAAAATCTAATTATATCTATTACTTTACAAAAAATTTATTTAAAATGTCAACAAATCTCTCTCATTAATAATAATTCAGAATAATGAAATAAATATCAATTCAATTATAATACATATCGAGTCAGATATAAATTTATCGTTAATAAATTAAAATATCTTAATTTTGTAATTTAAATACTGACAAAACGTAAAATTAATCACTTAATATAAAATAATTGGTCAATTACGTATTGTTTTTAACATATTATAAATATGATGAAAAAAAAAATAAATATATGCAATAAAAGTAATAAATGCGACCAGTAAAATGAAAATAGTACAATGTACGAAGTTGTAATAATTAATCAATTTAAATGCATGACACGTTTGTTTCAATCATATTTAAATTAATTATTACTTTTACTTTACGATCTAATCTGAAACAGCTTTAATTTTGGGTAGCACGCGATTTGTCGATACCGTAATCGTCGTATTATTTACATCGCTTTCATCTATTACCTTGCTGAAGATTTCATTTTTACATTTATCAAATTCTTCCACCATTTCATGTAGCTCTCGATCACCGTTTATCGTTATAATCGGGGATGGCAATGGCTTTAAAATTTGATGATAGAGCCAGTCATCATGGACCTGATGGATTTGCTTCAGATACTCTAACGAGACGGCGTTCTCTTCTTTTCGACCTCGTTGTTTCATTCTTTCGTATACGATCTCAGGTGTTGTTCTCAAATATACTATTTAGCAAAGAACAAAAATAAATTAAATAAATATATACAATAGATGTCTCTTCAATTATAATTTTTCATAAAATCCATACATCATACCTATTAAGTCAGTTTCTATATTAGCATTTTTCAAACACCAGTCATACCAATTTTCTAATATTGTAACTTCAACGTCACGCAGTACATTATTGCGTTTTAAATTTTCAACGAAGCACATTGCACTATAGACAGACCTCTCCATGATTTTGTAAGACGAGGATGTTTTACAAGTGTGCAATTGGAGCATAGTCAATTGTACGTAAGATTGAAACAAGAAAGCATAGCGAGATGGTTCGCTGTACATTAATTCCTGCAATACATTTTTGTAATGTTTAATTTAATTTCTATTCTTCGTTATTAATATAGACATATATAATAATATAATATTAGTATTATCGTGTATATCTATATTAATAACAAAGAATAGAAATTAAATTAAATTAATTACGTTTATGTGTAATTATTAATATAAGCACAGTAATATTTTATATAAAATATGTATATTTCTAAAATATTAATTTGATTTTTTTTTTCATTATATGTTATATGCGCGTTTATTTGATATAAAAATCTCAGACATTTTTAAATAAATATATACATTGATTAGGCTTAATAATATTAATATGTTAAATAATCACTCGATATAATATTTCCACATCTTCTTATTTGTTGTAAAGTCTTTATAAATAATTAAGATTTAACAATAAAAATATTAAATATTTATATTTAATTGTTTCTTAAGTTTTAAGGGAAAAATATTTTCTATCTCACCAGTAGATTCGTCCCATGCACATCACGCCAAAGTTCTACAGGTTCTTCTAATACAGTAACATTGTCAAATTTCTTGAAGTGACTTAAAAATGTTGTTTTACCACTTCCAATGTTGCCCTCTATGCACACAGTGAAAGGACGTTTGTACAGTTTACCAATGGAACTAGACATTTTGATGAAGGCTTCAAGAGCTTCTTTACCTAACAGACAATACGCTTGGCTAGTACTAAGGAAAACATACTAAGGATCTGCTTGGCTCAGTAAGAAATATGACACTTCATATATTCAAGAGTCTACAATATAGAAAGTTTACAATAAGAGTTATAGCGGTTATAAGTAATTATCTTAAATTGCAGGAAATTGACCAATCATAGTTGATTATTCTCATATTGAACTGATTGATTAATCTTCTACAATTTAAAATTCTATGACTCACCGCTACAACTTCTTCCTGTAGATCACGTATTACAACATACTATTATATAAATAAGATAATATTACTTCCTAGAGTTAATTTATCAACAGTATAGATGTGAAATATAATATATCTTAATCAAATCAACACAATAAAAGGATATTATATGTCCCTAAATATCGATCATCTTATCAGTTAGAAAATATGTAATATATGTAAAATATAATGTAATCTTATCGAAAATTTTCTCTTGTATATCTTAATTTTTAGTTTAGTTAAATTAATATTTAATATTTATTTCTATTCAATTCTATTTAATTGTGCGCAAAGCCACACAGTAACAACTTATTGAAATGTAAATATTTTCATCGATCGAACAGATAATTAAACTCCATTTCAATTTTCAGTCACATTTACAACATTTCGACACTCACCAAGGAATTATTGCACGAGATATTTATTCGTTTGCGATTTGAAACCAGTTGACTCTTAAATCAACGTGAATCGAATAACGTTCGTGTGACACAATGTATGATTGCAGTGGCTCTTGACAAAAATGCAATTTTTAAAGTAACGATTCTTGATCCTTCAGCTCGACAAGGCGGGACACTAATGAAGACGAACCCAGGCAACAAACCAGAAACTGCCGCGCAACTTTCCCGCCAAATCAAAACGAGCGCCATCTCGAACAGATAAGCTCGCCGTCTGATCACCTGTACAATCTGCGCTTTCTTGCTCTTCTTTCATGATAAAGAAGCACAAATGTACACCTTTATCGCGAAGGAGGTGCAGCTAAACCAACCAAACCGAAGAGAATACACACGTGCATAACCAAACATTCGCGTACATGATGATATTTAGTAAAAGCAGAGAATATTTTGAGCGAATATTTCTCGATTTTCGCTAAACTTTCAACTTGGCGTTCACAGAGCGACGTCGATTGCCAGATGATGAACCAATCAGTCGAACGAGTCGAAACATTCGTAGCTTCTGATTTCTCGAATGCTGGAACATAATCCAGAGATGCTACCAACTGAAACACAATAAACCACGGGAGAGAGGATCGATAGTTTCGAATCTATAAGAGTAGCGAATTGGACGAACAATAAAAAGAAACGACAAATAATAGATTTAGGATCGCAAGGATATTAGATGGTAGTACAAATTTCAATATTTCACAAATTTTTGTACATTAATTATTAGCGTACAAAAATTTTTGTAACTGTTACAGAATAGAAAAGTTCTCCAGCGACAAATTCTTTATCTTGTAGTCAATCACGTAATAAAAAATTTTCGTTATAATACATTATAAATAAACGTTATAAATAAAATACCCTTCACGTGCGTTAACAATTGTCGAAGCCATAAATGGCATTGGCATTGCATGCTTTGCATTTGGTGATACAAGTCGACACAAGTGTCGTTCCCTCTTTGCTACTTATCGATTCTAAGAAAGATAAAATGTTTGTTGACTTTTGTCATTAAATAGAAAAGCACCCATTATCTTGAACGAGCTGAACGCTTAGCTAGTTACGTCACTGATACCGGCACGCACTTGCTGGCTTAATTACTGAGTGACAAAATGAGTACATAGTGCAATGACTCCGTTCGTTGTTATACGATTTTGAATCCTACATTCTACTAACGTTCCATTAATTAATACTAATTCGCTATTGTTCATATCAGCGTCATTACATAAAACCGCATCGTCGCGATAACGCGTTATCAATGTATACCGTACTCACCGGCGGAAGCCATCATTGCGATCTGCTGATTACTAATTACAACGCGAAAGACTCGTCGTTTGACAAGGAAATTCAGCATGACGCTCAGCAGCTGTCATTCACTGTCGTTTCTACGTTCCTGCTATTTCTGATGCAACTTGATCACTCGATGCAACAATGCAACTGACAAGAGTTCCGAGCGAACATGCGGATGAATACACGTGACGACGAACGATGCTAGCAATAAGTATACCTATTATTGATCCACTCGGAAAATGCATTTATTGACAGCCGATCGGTGAGAGACCGTCATCGACGATGTTACCACTGGAGATAATGTTTGAAAAAAATTCATAGCCTCGCCTTCTCAGTTGGAATAAAAATAATTGATTAAAAAGGATCATGAATGATAAAAAGGGAGGAAAAAAATTAATATTCAATAAACGAGGAATATCGTTTCAAATAATCAGGTATCAGTGGAAATAAATGTATTGCAATATTTGTCATATTGATAAAATTAGTAGAATATAAAAGGGTGGAAATGATATTTTTTTTATCACTACTGTGTTATAATCTACAAGTATAATATCATGCGGTAATGCATGTGCAGTATCGTCTATTTAAAAAAGTGAGAAATATTTAATTTTAAGGAAATAAATAGAGAGAGAGAGAGTTAAAAAGATATATCTTGAATTTGACTTCTTAATTTAATTATAAAATTACAAAATTAGGAACATTATTGTAAGAAACATCTATATTTTAATGAATAAGATACATAATAAAAGAACTTTTTATCTACAACATTATTATTTAATTAGATATTGTATTAAAAGAAGAGAATTAGTTACTGTGGAATATAATTTTAATTATGAAATAAATGAAGAAATTAACGAAGAAGATAAACGTTTATAGAATTTTATTTCCAATTTTTTAATTAAATAGTGTATTAAAATATTAATTAAGTTATTGGAGAACACTTTACCATGATGTAAATTTAAAAAAACTAAAGAAGATAAACAGTTGAAGACTTTATCTTCTATTTCACTTTTTAATTAGATACTATATTTAAAAAAGAAAAATTAGTCATTAGCAATAATTTAACGATAATATAAAAATTAGTATAATTACAAGTTTTGTAATCGAAGCCTAGATTTTCACGAAGAAATTATTTTAAAAGTAATAATGTCTTTAAAAGAAATCAAATCTTGAAAGTGATACCTTTGTCCTTATATTTTCAAGGATACTCGTCAAACTAACGATTTTAACGAAAACGTCATCGCGCCTTTGTTCACATTCCACTCTACGTGCTTTTACACATCATCAGCACATATGGTCGACTATAATCTTCGTCAAAGTGCGCCGCCTCATGAACGAAAAGTGGCACAAACGTGGTCCGTTTTTGATTTATACCGCTGAGAGCGGTCCTAGTTACAGCTGGAAACGTATATCCGGGACCGAAGAGGTATCTGGGATGGGAGTGTGTGACTAGCTGCTATAAAGAATTCCTGGCTTTGAAAGTGGCCGCGACGCAAAACTTATATCTGCTAGATGACTTTTATTAGAATCCTCCCGTGTCCTTTACTCGGAGAAAAAGGTTTAACGATATGTCCAACATTATAATATATTATATAGAATTTTTTATTTATGAGAGACAATAAAAATAAATACAAATGGGACTATTTCTCTGAAAATTATCGTAAAAGAATTTTTGTGTTTTCGAAGGCACCGCGACGTAAAACTTGCAAATTTGCTAGATTACTCTCATTATAATATCCTTATCTTTAATCAGGCATCTTTGATTATAAAGTTTTAAATTATTCTGATTTTTAAGTTTCATTATTATATATTGTGATATATCTGAAATTTTGGATTAAGAGACAACCATAATGAATAAAAATGATCATTTAAGTTATTGTAAAAAATTCTTCGAAAAACGGCAGACACAAGACTTGTATTTACACTGAGAAAAAAATATTTGTAAGATATTCATTATGAAATAAACCATTATTTAATAGAAAATAAAATGTTATTCCTAGCAAATAAACTATCTATTTTATTTTTTACAATATTAACGAGATATATTTTATAAAAATGTGTATTTAGCCATCATAGTTAAATGTTATAATAAAAAAAAATATCGAAAAAACATTTGCTTGCGAATTTCAGAATTTTTTTTCAGTGTATCGCATAACGTACATTAATGTTCATTTGCTCACTTCAATAGCGAGTAGAGTTTAATGTTAAAGTCTTTAAAAATACATAATTATGAAACGAAGAAAAGATTTAAAAAATTAGCGTAGGAAAAATTATTAAAAAAAAAAAATTCTTCGGCCTCAAAAGCGATCAATGCAAATTTTTAAGTTTGCTAGATTATATTCGTAAAATTTGCTCTTGTTTCAAAAAGAATTTCACTTGACGGCTCATGATATATAATGACATATGCAAAGAATTAATGCAATAAAAAGAAGCTTTAAGTGCTCTTCAATACGATTATCTTCCGTATTCGCATGCTTGAGCGCGATAAATCTATATTCATTGTGTAACGAGCGAGAATAATTTCCGGTGGAGATAAATACGATGAGAAATTTACTCTGAGCGTATCTTAAATCATCGAATCACCGAAGATATCGTGCTTAGAGATATTTGAATTTCCGTCGAGTTCCGGACGTTTCCATGCGGTTTGCGACGTACACGAACTGTCCAATGTCTATTTTAAATCCCGGAGTATTTATAAACTTACCTTTACCGGCGCGAAGTACAACGTGGCCCTTGTGTAAATGGAATCTCTGTCAATCATGCCACGTTTTAGTCACGTTTTAGCGCCAGATCTAATTCCAATCGAATTATTGCGTCTTATGTACGATTACGTGTTAATGAATTATTTTTCAGTTGTTTCTTCGATCAAATTTCGATATCTGCTTTCGATATCCGAATTAGCGCTTAAAAATTTATACTATAGATTAATAAATATATTATAATTTCTCAAATATAATAAACTATTCTCTTCCTTTATAGATTTATACCTTCACCGACACGAAGTATAATGTGCCCTTGCATAAATGGAATTGCTGTCGATCTTGTCATTAGTCATGATTTGGTACTGGATGATCCAATCGATCTCATACTTATCGCATCTACTTCCGTACCATCACGTGTTAATCAATTATCTTTTGTTGTTTAAAAAGTTGTTTTCTCGATCGAATTTCGATATCTGATTGAGTTAGTGTCAATTAGTGCTTAAACATATTATAATTTATGTATTGAATGTTACAGTTATTTTTCAGATATTCAACTATTCTCTATTCTTTTATAAATTCATTTTTATCCATGCGACATATCGAAGCATGACTTTAATTTGTGTAAATAAATATTTACTAAATTAATACTTAAACATTTATACTACAAAAATTATTAAATATATATACTATAAGTTCTCTCAACTCTTCTCTTCTTGTAGTTGCGCACTAATTCCTGATATTTTGGCTTCCATCCATCTCCGTCAATCATCGCCTTGACAATTGTGAATTTCTCCCTACGTTTAATGCCTCTGATTTTATCTAGAAAATAGTACTCGTTTTTAATTGTATCTATTTTATTTCGATATAAATATTAAAGATATAAAACAAAAGAATATATATATATGACTTATAGATATTATTTGATGCGTTATTAAACACGCATATCTCAAGTGTTTTCAACCTTCTCGATAAAATGCGGCCTGCAGCCTCTTCTCTAAGACCGGCAGTGGATTAATCATCTCATATCAAGGCCTTTACATTCATGCGGCCCTGCGGGGACGAGTCGAATGGTCAGCCAAGGGGTTCTTGGGATAATCTCGGAAAAGCGGGATAAATAACCAGACGGTCGGCAGACTGATCCGTTTACTCGTTTATATTTGGATGATGATGCCTTCTCTCTCGGCCATCGTCGCGGCCTCGCACAAATTGTATCAGTGTGTCATTTCGCGTCGCAATTTTATGCAATTTCACTGACATCGCGGCTGTTCTTCCTGATCTAAGTCGCACCGGTGGAAAGTGGAAATCCGAGCGGAGCGAATCCGACGACTTGTTCTCTTCTCATGTCGCATCGGGAAACTGGCGAAGCAATCGACGAAAGGAAATGTGTCCTCTTCCGAAGTAACGTTTCCTAGAAAGCGTTCCACATGTATTTTCATTCATTCGAAGTCTTCTAGTGTGGAATTTTAACGCAAAATATCATTTCAATTAGCAAATTCGGTTGAACAGGTGCATTAAAGTCGTTGTACACTGATTTAATTCGTGT